TCTGAGATTTTTAAATCATACGAGTCAATTATTATTATCTTTCATTATATACAATTAAAAATAATGTTAGAAAAATATTCTAAAGATGCTTAATATAAAAGATGTTTAATATAATTACTTAGATTTCCTATGCAAGTACCAGTGATACTGGTTGAGGCTATCTTTGTCTTCTGATACCTGGAAACGAAGATAGCCTTAGTCGCGGTTACTTTTGGTTGCTATTCCAGAGGCACGCCAAAATTCGCCTTTAATTATTTATTTTATGTGCACTAATCATAAAATTATTTCTTTAATCTTTCTAAAACATATAATCCAGTTAATACACAATTCATCAAATTTAACCTAATTGAAACATCACTACTAGTAGTATATAGAAGTCTGTGTTCCTCACACAATTCCTCATCACATCGAGTTTCTAAATGACATAGATAATTTTTAAAAGATGTATGTATGTACGTAGTACATATATCCTTTTTTTACCAATTCTGTAAAAACATAGGCTCAAAAGATTAAATAAATGTAAAGTTAATACCAATATAAATCAACACTAGTTGTTCGTGTGAATTATAAATAACTTTTTCATCACGTGTGCACGTAATGTGCCCTATACCACAACGCTTTTGCGTGCGGGAAATAGCCAATACCTCAAGCCGTTGAGGTATTTCTCTAATCCCACGCAAAAGCGTTACATTATGAAAAATAGCGCAAAGCAGTGGTAACGCTCGTACAAATATCAACACGGAGAAAGCGCCGACCGGAGCGTCCTTTCGGGGCATCTGGGGGGGGGGGGGAAGAGCAGCGTGCTGCACATGAAAAATCAGCTTTACGATTCGTTAAGTTAACGTTAAGCTTACTTTTCATGTGCAGCACGCTGCGGCAGCAAAATGTCATGTGATACAAATTTTTGAGAACTGATTGGAAGTGCGTCACAGTGCGTCACCTCACAAAAGATTTTTAATCAATAATAACATTTTGCTGCCGCAGCGTGCTGCACATGAAAAATCAGCTTAAGTGTCATTCAACTTGTAATAACGTTTAAATTTAATTTCAAATTGTAATAATCTCACAATTATAATTAAAAGTAATGAGCAATACAAAATTTTGTATTGTTAAATATTTATTTACGGAATATTTTAATTTCTTTTATGGGGGGGGCTGCGCCCCCCGAACCTCCCCTGCTTCCTGCGCCCCACGCACCACCCCATAAGTCGCACTCGCTTCGCTTGTGCGACTTTATAATTATATAGCATAATACTAACACAGTGCACTCGTAATGAAAAATTCTATATGTAGCGAGTGGGAATATATTTGTTTATAGCGCGGGACAGGCGCGAGCGCACGAACGAAGCGCGCTATAAACAACTATCCCCCACTGTTACACACTATATTAAAAATTATACAATAATATAAACAAACGTTTTGATCTTTCTCGTTTAAGTCATCAGTAAAGATTTAATTAAAGTAATAAAAAACTTTTGTTTCTTCTTCACAACTCCACTTTTATCAATGTTTTTTACTACAAAAAAAACTTTCGTTTCTCCACCACAACTCCATTTTTATCAATATTTTCATTAATAGACTGCGTAACGTTGTCTAATCGTTCAAAGGACCCCACACAAAATCATAGGATTTTGACCCTCGGTGAAATTGGCTTTAATTCATAGTTCTTAACTCATTGATCAAAAGTGTTCATAGGCACATAACCTGAAAATGACTAGTTTCTTTTGTTGTAGCTATTTAAAGTTTTATTTTATTAATACCTCAAAATCAGATTTCTAATAAATTCTTAATAAATCTTGAAATTTTAAATAACAATATGTTAACCACTCTCATCATCCTCACTCCCACCCCCACAAAAACAAGAACAACTCATAGAGCGTTAGTCAACAAGCTGTTTCTAATCGCCTACGAGAAATGAGAAAGATTCAGAAGGTCGGCAGATGGATACCACATGAGTTGAACGAGAGGCAAATGGAGAGGAGCAAAAACACATGTGAAATTTTGCTCGAGCGATGCAAAAGAAAGTCGTTTTTGCATCGTATCGTTACTGGGGATAAAAAGTAAATATGTTTTAAGAATCCCAAGCGTAAAAAATCATGGGTAAAACCAGGCGCACCATCCACATCGACCGCAAGACCGAATCGCTTTGACAGGAAGGCGATGCTCTGTGTTTGGTGGGACCAGAAGGGCGTGGTTATTATGAGCTGTTAAAGCCTACTGAAACGGTTAATACCAAACGCTACCAACAATAATTGATCGATTTGAATCATTCACTACTCAAAAAAACGATCAGTATATCGAAAAAAGCAACAAGATCATTTTTCTCCATGACAATGCTCCATCACATACAGCAAAACCGGTTTCGACACGTTGGAAGCACTCAGCTGAGAAGTGCTAACCCATGCGACTTAGCCCGGATCCTCATACGGACAACAGCGCTTTGACACCGGACGCTGATTGGTGAAAAACGGGTTATGGGGGTAAATTTTACCCTCACCACCGGTTTTTCACCAATCAGCGTTTGGTGTCAAAGCGCTGTTGCCCGTATGAGGATCCGGGCTTACTCACCAGACTTGGCTCCTTCCGATTATCACTTGTTTGCATAGATGGCTCACGCATTTGCTGAGCAGCGCTTTGGTTCGTACGAAAATGTGAAAAAATGGCTCGATGAATGGTTCGCGGCAACAGGGGAAGATTTTTACTGACGTGTGATATCCACAAATTATCCGAAAGATGGGAAAAATGTGTAATTAGCAATGGAGCATACTTTGAATAAACCACTTTTTATCATTCTTCCTAATTTGTTTTTTTTTTTGAAAAAAATTTGCATTTTATACTTGTACACCTGGTATATGTATATGGGGCATTCCATGCCAAGTGGGCCACCCATTTTGCGAAGTTTCATGGATTTCGTTCATATTGCTTGAACTTGAACAGTTTGATGAATAAAGACTCTATGCCGAATAATATATCTGTAGGCTAACTGGTTGCCGAATTGTAGAGCCGTCAATTTTTGAGCTTTCTTGTCGCAGCGTTCTTTTCGCTTGTCGTTAGTGGACATGAAAAGCAAGTTTGAAAATGAAATGTAGACGTTTCCTTATAGAAAATTGAACGCTCTTTCACGTAAGAATACTCTTTTTTTTCGATCAGACCGGTTACGACGATGTTTGTCAGTTTTGAAATTTTTTAAATGACGGCGCGCTTAAAAGGCCAGTTTCAATTTTCTTTTAATAAAGCTCAAAATGTAGCCCTAGGTCTCTATTTTGTTACTTTAAAAGGAGTTAATTGGACACGCATTCTTTTGGGAGTAAGAGCTAAGAAAATGAGGCAATGACTGCGTTCAGCAGAAAAAGCAGCTTTGCAACTGTTGTAAAATTCTTGAATATAATTGGTTTATATATTTAGATCTAATGAGGAAGTAAGGACAAGACCAATCATATTAAGAATTTTGCAACAGTTGCAAAGCTGCTTTCTCTGCTGAACGCAGCCAATGTCGCTCCGTCACCCTGCCGTCATCACGCGTCATCACGCTCGGCCCAGTCGCCCGGCATGGGTCGCTGTTAGTCCCTGATAACATTTCTGTACATGCACATGAGTTTAAAAACAATTGCTCTCTGTGTTTAACAGGGTTGAGACTGTCTTTAAGGGTACCCTTCGGGTCTTTTTAACGTTTTTTCAAGAATTTTTTTTTCATAGTAAAATGTATTTAAATTCTTCGAACTTTTTACACATTATTAATGTTACAAATGAGCATGTAAAAAAATTTTTTTTTAATTTTTCGCGCACGTGCGGCGTCAAAATGGTGGCTTCAGTGGTTGGTCGTAAAAATCTGGTGGACGTGATATCTCCAGTTCGAAACGCTTGAAATAAAAAATTCAAACAGATTCTTAAAATACATGTTCGTGACTATAGCCGGTAGTAAAATTAAACGTTTTAAACGTAAAAAAACAAAATGGCGACGTTTTGAATTTATTTACCTTTTTTTCACCCGTAAAATGATAAAAAATAGGGGTTAAAAATCAACGAAAAATAATGATTTTACTACGGGCTAAAACTACACATGTTCTGAACAATCCCTGAAAATTTCAGCCCGATCGGTTAAATAGTTTTTACAAAATCGTGTCCACCAGCTCGAAAAACCTTGTTTTGAGGAAAACGCGTTTAAAGTTTTTGTTCGCATAATCGTTAGTATAATCATGAAAAAAAGTGTCTTACGCTCAATCAGCGATGCCAGCTCCATACATAATGCCTTCGGTTTCTTCGTAGAACTCGTTTTGAAACTCGTTTTTGGTATATTTGAAAATTTGAATTTTTCGAAAAAAATAGACCCGAAGGGTACCCTTAAGTAATACCTTAATGCCCGCATTACAATTGTTTTTTTAAGTTTTTATTCTATTTGTTATTTTTATTAGTTATTTTTATATTTTTGTTCTTTTTTTGTTGTTTTTATTTATATTTTTTGGATTATTTTGATATTTTATCATTTATTTTCGGGGGAGTACTACCAGTGGTATCAACTGCCAAACATGTTTAGTAGAGATACTGACAGCCAATAATAAGGTAAAGTCGACGCACTTGCGATGGCTGTCAATATCCCTGCTAAAGCTGTGTTCCAAAATTTACTGCCAGTACTGAAAATCTATAATTTGATCACATAGATTTTTAGTACCGAAAAGAGAATCGAAAAAAACCGTAAACCGAAAATAATTTTATTGGTTTTGTTACATATTTTCAGTATCACAAATTTTGTAGAACTTCGTAGTTCTGGTTCTTATTCGGTACGGGTCATTCACACGAACAACTAGTGTTGGCTCATATTGGCATTAACTTCTTTAATAATTTTATAATTTCATTAACATCTTTTTTAAATCTCTCAGAAAACGAAAATATAATATATTGAGATATAACGTATTTAAGTAGATTAATCAAAACAAGAGGATCTGTGTAAAAGTTGAAATTACTCGTAAATAATATAAAAAGTAACTTTGTGTTTATTGCAGCCACCATATGGTATGCCATCGACACCTGGAGGATTTGTATCTGTTAGATCTCTTTCAATTTCGACACCGATACCTATATTTTCTCATATGCCTCCGTATTCTGGACGACCGCAATCTCAAATGGTGAGCTATCAAATATGCGTACATAAAATCATGTGTTATAAATTAATAACTAAAATTTTACAAGAGATCAATAAAGAAAATATTCTTCTAGCTAAATATGGTTTAATAAAAAAAAAATGTGGTGGTTATTAAATTATGTACATATATAGTTTTATATTTTGATAAATAACACACACAAAAATGTTTAAATGAAAAGATAACTAGTGATAAAAGTAACACAGATTAATAAAAAACATTATGAATATTTAGATTTGTATTTTATGTCGCTTGCAAGTTAATTAGATTGTTTATGTATTAACTTAAACATTCTTTTCATGCTCACATGCGTAAGCATCACTTCATTCTTGTTGTTTACCAAATATTATGTAAGAACAAATATTACTTATATAAGCGTCAAATATTACTTATTAACGCGAAACGAAATGCATCCTTAATTATCTCTTAAATAATTACTTATTTATAATTGACATTGATTGTTTTTAGTTCCGATCAAAGCACAAACGTCAACCGTTCGCAAATCAAGAAGAAACAAAGAGGCATATTGAAGTTAAAAATGAATCTTCAAAGATGATCAGCGAAGATCAAATTGATCTGGCTCAGACTTACACGGGATTAGACAAGAGAATTTCCGAAGAATTTATTTCGATCGCGATGGATCCAGATAGAAAATCAAAAGTTTCTAGCTGTTACGACAGTGAAATTGGAACTTTTTGACAAATTTCAGTTACAATATTTCATGAATTTAATACAAAATATAAAATTTGCTCATGATTATATCTATTTTATATAGATACATTTATTGCATCTAACAATAAGATTGAGATATAAATCAGTCTTATACACGCGCGCGCGCGCGCGCCCACACACCACCCACACACCCACTCACACACCCACCCACACACACACATTCTTCATTGCATACTTCAAAATTTCGAGTATAATATTTAATTTTTCTGTTAAGTGTGAATTATTAAAATTATTGCATTAGTGTTTTCGATTGACTTAATAACATGCTCAGAATAATTTAACATGCTTTTTTTCTAATCCTTTCCTTTCTAACTGAAAATAAATAAAATATCACACAAAAAATCGATTTACAAATTACAAAGAATTAAAAGAATAGATCAATAAATATTATAAAACTTATTTCTTTCAAAAAAAAAAGGAGATGTTAAGTTGATAAGTCGCATTTTTCGAAGTATTATTGTCGCTTTTCCGCGGTTTTGATCGGTTCTCTCGCATCGCTTACTTCGTGAGCTGGGGTGCGTTCAGAATGAACGCCCGGACGACAACTTTTTACCTAAAAGCGTTCGATTTGACCGGATGTTTCGTCCAGACGTTTCACCCAGATCGTTCAGAATGGGTTCAGAAAAACACCCAGACTACAACTTATCGCCGTACTCGAGACTGCAGCCAATTTCGCCCGACATGCGCAGAGAAGCCTATTTATGCCTACGCAACCTATAACCTATAAGAACCATATGATGATATGATTTGAGGTTATTATTATGTCTCACGCCATTTTAGCACCGAGACACCGTATTTAACCGTGATAAATAGAATAATATAAATTATAAAGAATAGTTTGAATTTTAATATAAAGAATTAAATATAAAAATCGACTCTCGAAAATTTCAAATACAAAAAATAAATAGGCTAATGAGAGTAAATTCGCTGTTATTAATGCGAAATTATAAAAAAAAAAAAATATATTTGTTAACAATCAAAAAATATCAAATATAAAATACTATACGTTTCGGCCTAACATCCGGGCCATCTTCAGTAGTAAATTCACAAAAAAGGCATGGATCAGTAAGAAAGTGGTCACTCTCAACGTCAAACAATCAAATCCACATGGTTGGTAGGTCATGTGCAAACGACTAGACGTAAATCTAAGTAAAAATTAAAAATTAATGACAATGATTGAAGAAAGATGAAAATGAACACTCACCGACAAATCCATGATTACAAGATAAAGTTGTATTAAAATAATAATAAACCATCATCGGAACCACAACTAATTAATATAAAAATAGTCAAGAGATAAAAATCCGAAGATAACATTGTGGTGGTCAAGATTTAAGCGGGGAGCACAGACTTTTGCATAACGCATAAAGCATGTGCATAAGGAATTTCATTGGTCCATTTTCTTATGCATGAGTCAATGGACCAATCAAATTCTTTATGTATATGGTTTATGCGTTATGCAAAAGTCTGTGCTCCCCGCTTTAGAATGTAATAATTGTAAACGGAACAACTCTAAAGGAGCCTACAGACCAGAGCGACGCAGCGGTGAAGCGGCGAGCGATAGCCAATGAGAGCCATGATTTTGCGTAAAAAGTTTGTCTAGAAGTTTTCTTATTAAGTACAGACTTTAAGCGCTCATTAATAACATTAAAAACCAAATCCACTGGATAGTCATTATTAAGCAATGTTTCAATAACGGTAATAATATTTTTTTGATGGAATTTTGGACTCGATAACAAAAATGCTCTATCAACTAACCCCATAATCGTGCCTATTTTCTGGGAAAGAGGATGTTGAGAAAGGAAGTTTAAATATCTACCCGAATACGTAGGCTTATGAAACCAGTCATACTCAATCTTCAAATTATTTTTAATAATGGTGATGTCAAGAAAATTAAGCGAATCCCCCCCAATCTCCAATGTAAACTGCATACGTGTGTGAAAAGAATTAAAAATTGCAAGAATCTCAGAAGTTTTATAACAAGGAACCGCCATCGCAATATCATCCACATATCTAACATAAAATGGAATATCTAAGTTTAAAGAATTAAGTGCTTTAAGTTCCAAATCTTGTAAAACGATATCTGCAATAACAGGAGACAAGGGAGAACCCATTGGAATACCAAATTTTTGTCTATATATAATATTGTCAAAAGAAAAAAATGTTAAGTCAAAAATCAATTTCAGTCCTAAGAAATTCTATTTTAGAAAAGGAAGTATAATGCTACAAATTTGTGACCATCTAATATTAATACTGTCCAAAGCTAAATCAATTGGTACGTTGGTAAACAAAGAAACAACATCAAGCGAAATCAAAGTAGAATCCACATTTAATTGTATGTTGTCTAACTTTTTGATCAATTCAAAGCTATTTATAATTGACCTAGGAGAATCTGAACTGACTCGAAAAATAATTTTGTGTAAGAATTTGGCTAAAGGGTAAAGAGAACTATCCACAGCAGAAACAATAACTCTTAAAGGAAAACCATTTTTATGGATCTTGGGAAGGCCATAAGCTCTAGGTAAAACGCCATCACTAATATACAACGAATAATAGTCACGCTGCGAAATGTAACCTTTCCTCTTCCAATCCATAAGAAGATCTCTAAGTTTTTTAGAGAGAGTGTTAGTTGGATCTTTTTTTTATAATTTCATAGGTGCTATTGTCCGATAAAATCTCACTCATTTTCTGTTTATAATCACCCGAATCCATCGCTACAGTCACGTTGCCTTTATCAGCTCTAGTCAAAAGAACATTATTATGGTTCTTGAGAAACAATTTTAATGATTTTAAAGATTTAACAAAAAAACTCTTCAATTTATCTGGTCTCTTAAAATGGGAAGATAGATTATTCAAGATCGGTATGACACGGTTTCTGGCACCTACTCTTACAAGTAAACCTACCCAAGTGTAACTCTCCGATTTTGATGAGCTTTTAGTATGTTGTTCTCCAAAGAAAAATAAGAGACACGTATTTATTTATACGTGCCCTTACGCACTTTTAAAGGCTGAAATACCCCTTTGAAGAAAATCGGTTTTTCTCTTTCGAAGCGAATATCGTCGAAAATATAAGAGGTAGAAAAAAAATTCTTGAATAAAAATAGAATGGCTTTAAGGGTACTTTACAACTATAATAAAAAAAATTTTTTTTAGTTATTTATTTATTGTATACCTTCACCCTCCACCTCTATTTTCAAAAATTTTTTTATCTTTATATGACAAAAATTAAAGAGCATAATTTACTGAAAACAACGGTGTGTATTTAAATTATTTTCCGTAAAACCATTTTTCAAAAATGGACGAAAACGTCTATATACACGCTCCATACGTATTCGTACACGCGTGCGCGTGTTGTGTATGTATATGTGTGGGAGAAATACCCTTGCCTCTTATGTTTGGAGTGCTTGATTTACGTGAGTCCCCTTGCCCCTCACGTTTGGGGTGCTTGATTTACGTGAGTCCTCTTGTCTCACACTCTTGTCTAAAAAAATACGTGTCTCTTATTTTTCTTTGGAGAACAACATACTAAAAGCTCATCAAAATCGGAGAGTTACACTTGGGTAGGTTTACTTGTTAGA